GCTTCCTCATCAAAACCAACTTTTTCCTAAGTGAAAAGGGAACTTCCGGTCAAACGGCAGAAAAATCACAAGGAAACCCTGAGAATTGTTCAAACCGACTCTCTCTAACCCTCTGAACTGAAACACTATTGAACGGCACAAGCTGACTGCTCATCTTGAACTGCATTCAAGGGAATGCTGACCCTGGTCGTTTCTACAAAAGGGAGGAGGATCGCTTAGGAAAAACCACAGATGAAGTCATGAAATAATATCGGCTAAATTGCGCAGTACATGTTACGGTTTGTTCACCTGTTGTTCGAATGTTGCACTTTCTCTAATGATACCAATCCCGTCTGATATCGTGTTCAGTAGAAATTACCTAGAACAACGGTCTTTCAACATGTCGTTATCTCCCAAATCGTTTGTTGTTGTTGCCATTCTATTCACCCCTTATACATACATATATTGGAACTCGTCAAAATCACTTCAGCACTCAGCCAAAGGTATGTTCCTTCTGTCCCACTAGACTCAAAATGAATACACGGAAAAAACCGCATGCTCATCAGTAACCCTCATCAGTTCATCTTTTCGGAGAAGGCCATCACCGCTTCTTTATGCTCTTTTTGTCAACGATGTGCATTTCCATTCCACAGGCTATTTGAGAACTTGGATTAGGGATCAAATGGTCAGCGATGCAGTGCATATGCAGAGCACTTTCGTATTATAATGGCGCATATCTTCGCGCTCAGCAAGACTTTGCTAACCTCAACCAAAATTATGATCGTGACCGTAACATCGAGAAGGCGGGCTACCGCGGCTTTCCGATGTGTCTTCTCGCTGGTTTTGCTTCTGGCCCTGTTGTCACACTTGCAATCGTTGTGGGCGCAAAATAGCTGAAATTTCACCAATGACTGCACATTTGTTGGTCTTGTCACGATTACGAAACTCATTTTGACACTAGTGTCATTTGACGTCACTTTGGCGCCTCATTTTTCTCACCTAGGAAATTCCAACACATAGCGAGAGAAATTCATATTTTTAATTTTAACAAGGAAATTCGTGATTGCTAACGATTTGGGGGGGGACCACGCGCGCGCGCGAGTGATGACTCATCGGCTCTTCACTCATCGGCATACTTGAAGCGCGATTCTAGCAGTCAAATTAGAATAAAACAAACAAGGTTCACCGGGAACTTGCTGAGAAATCCCACGGTAGCCGCAAAAAATGTTTGATCTTTTGTAGTCAACAATAGCAGTCAACAACAAACAGGCAACAAAATTTTGTAGTTGATTCAAAAATCTTCCAGCCCACAACTGTTTCTTCGGACTTTTTAGCGTTACTGTATAATATAGCTAGGGGTGTTATGTACATGTCCTGAACACAAAATCACTTCTATTTTGCGAGTAGAAGAGCAGATGAGTCATCGCACGCCGCGAGCCCTATGGTCCCCCCCCAGTCAGCTAGCGCCCGCAGGGAAGGTGCTTATCACCTGCTTCTGTGATACTCTAGGTACAAGGTTATATATAATTTATCTTTAAGGCACAAAAGCGAATAAAGTGTATAGGATAGATTACAAGCAATCAAAGGAATTAACAAGGCATACGACACACAGAAGGCAAGAATGTGAGGCAAGTAGAAGCACCAAAGAGATCGGATGTTCTTGGTTACGGGGGCGTCGCCCTCAAGGTAGCTGGCAGGAACGGGCTGCAGGCCTCCGGACCTGGCAGAGCGGTCGATCTCCTCACATGCTCGGCAGCTGTAGTCTGCGCGCACGCCCTGAAAGCTAAACGGAGTGCATACAAAACAAAGTGGCCGCGCCGTCGGCGCCGTTACACCCCCAATACGTTAGCAGCTAATTCGCTATGTCCTACTAGGGAATACTTTTTTGATTGAAACAACCTGCACCCGTTCTTTTTACACTGATATAACGTGTCGCTATTTTTTGTTCTGTAGACAAAATTGTTATGCCGAAGTTTGAATGTTTTTACAACAGCGGAGACTGTGTATATTGTGAACAGTGCCTCTTGTTCGAAATGTTCACTTATACAAAACATGGCACCTTCCTGTTGAGTTTCGTCCCATGTGAAGCTTTACTATCATTCCTATTCGACCGACTCATGTAGCACAAATGAGCTTGATATATTCTAAACTGCTGCGCCCTCGTAAACCAATTATTGCTAGTATTACTGTGTTCATAGTAGTTGCTGTCTTCTGGATTTCATCAAAATATCTCCAGAAAGCAATTTTAGGTAAGTTTCATCGTCCCACGAACGTACGATGGTCTAGTGGGATCTACTTGACAAGCTACAGAAGGGATCATTCAAAAATGGGCATCTTTTCGAAGAACAAATGCACCGTTGTGTAGTTTGAAGGCAGCCTCCTTGACTGACTGTGGCGCAGAAGTTCTTCCTTGTACAAGGTAGGCGCTGAACGCAGAGCATATCCCATTTTCGCGACCCGGAACTGCTTGATAAAAGCAAAAATGACTTCAACTTTTTCTCCGGTCTTCCACTGTTATTCAAAAGCAGAAAGAATCATTCCGGCCATCTCACCTCGAAGGTTTTCTGAATAGCGTCTTTTTGAGAGCTGCCAAACTTTACTATCCTTATATACCTCTCTAGCAGGCACTTCTCTGGATTTTCTAGTATATGATTCTCTCTCTCTACTGGATTGCTGAAAACGTGTTGATTTGCCAAGGATTTTAACCTGTAGATTGCCTGCTATTTGGCTGTGCTCAAGCTGTAATTCTGACGGGTCCGAGTGAGTGATTAACAGCATAAAAATTGAGAAGAAGAAAATGAAAGACAAAGCAGATCCCGAGGCTGTGGTACAACTGCGCTACGAGGGATCATGCCAAAGTTTTAGTGTTCCTTTTATTCTCGAGAATGGAAAACGAGAGGATTTCGGGGACCGAATCGTAACCTGTAAAGTCAGAGGTACCTCACATCATAGAACCCTTCATCCTACATTCTTACTATCTGCGGATCCACGAATTCTTTTCACATATCAAAACCGAGTATAGTCGTGATAAGCTCTGCTCGTGTCCTTTGTCAGGCAGCCTACCTATGAAAGCGGCTTGTTCGGAGAGTGAAAATTATGTCCGAGGAAAATGTGATTGTTGGAAGAAGAAACACTCACTATTAACTAAGCTCTAGTATCGAAGCTGTTGCTATGAATCAAAAGACAAGTTCACCGTACATCACAATTCCCTGCGAACGATGAGGCATGTCGCAGGGGCGTTGCACGCCCTGTCTCTTTGCAGCCAGGTTATCTTTTGCTGTGCGGGCTCAGGATGGCACCATCCGTGTAAGAGACTCGATTTCGATGCCACAACCGTTCTCAACCATTCTATTTGCAAGGATCACGATTGTCCCACAGTCGCAGCTACAACTATTTCCTTGGTACTGTGCCAAAATTTTTCTTCGTTTGCTCTCAAGGGTGTGAAAAGTCAAAATTCAAGACTGAGACCACTTCGTGATGTAATCCATTATCCGTTCTGATCCTCAGCATGAAAACAGCTAATTTCATTCGGAGCTGATGGGATTGCCCCCCCCCTCATTCAAATGAGTCGAGGGGTCGCTATGTGCTGCTGCTCGCCCTACTTTTTTGAGGCATAAAACAGCATTGAGAGCTGAATTCCACACTGTTCGGAGTGGACTCCTCTCACTAAGAACCTCGCTTTTTAGAGGCTGTTCTATGGATTTTATCGATGTGAATGCAGCTAAAGTTGTTCCAATTGCACGAATTCCATTCACTGCCGCATAAGCATCCATAATATTTGTATAATTTGCTTCCACTTTACAAGCCCACCCCCCTTGACAGCGTATTTTGTTAGGTAAAATAATTTAAATATAACGGAAAGTGCGAATCGGGAGGAGTCATAAAAGTGAATGGGGTAACTTGATTGGCTCCCTTCTATTCAGAGACTTTACTGTTCTCCCAGCTCATCAGAATAATATCTGCAGGCGCGCATTCCTAGTTCTGTTATGTTCTACATTTCTTCAAAGTATGAACGCGGTCTGAAATGAGGGAATAGGAAAAAAAGAAGGCACTTGAACGTAATTACGTGCCAGGGAAGAAACTGTCTCTCCAGCATAGAGACCAGATGATAACAAGTGTCGGCCAGAGAAAGGTGAGATACGACAAGTAACAGAGCAACCTTCAAACCTCGATTCGCCTCTATGCAGTACTGCGCTTTACGCGCTGAGACCTGTGACCATTGCAATACCTCGCCAATGCTGTGAACGGGGACCCTTTCCATAGGTAGGTTCTTGCGGCCTCATCGCTTTTACACTATTTTATTGGAACGAGGAGAGAAACTTTGCTCAGAGAATCTCGTGCCTTTCGGTAATCTTGGTTAAATCTTACATAGAATTCCAATAGTGACTCATAAAAGTTCGCTTTAATAGAGAAGCATTATGATTTTCCTAAAGACGCAGTTTTTTATCCTTGTCACAAAAACCCTGAAATGAACTTGCTCTTATATCGAAACGTCACTCTATTTCATTAAACACTGACTTCAAGCGTCGATTTGTCAGTCTGTGTTTCTACACATCCTTGCTGTGGAGGACATCGAATCTGTAGCTTGACAGGGACTTCTCGAGTTGCTTGAACAGGGGTGTAAGTTCATCCGATAATGCACACTTCGTGGAGGAGTTGGTCGTCAGTTGCGGGAGAACACGCGATTACGCTGGGATACTTTCTTCAGGAGGTCCAACCGCTCAACCGACTAAGAAAGCTGTTGTTAAATAAGCCACTTAATTGGTAACTATCGGTCACTGGCATTACGTAGCAGCACTGGATTAGGACGTGAAAGGAGGTGGAGTAAAAATAGCATACGTATGCTCATAGACCGTAACTTGAAAGTTTTTGTGCTCAGTGCGTTGCAGTTTTTGCGCAAACTCCTCGAACTCGTCCGCTAGATAATCTCCTGTACGATAGATGATGATAGCAAGATATCAAATTTCAAAAGAGCATAAAGGAGCATTCTTGAAGGACGGGAAAACAGATAAAACGCTCAAATGGTCTTCGTCTTGATAGTGGCCATCCCCACATGTCTAGTGCATAAAATTGTCGCTGTCCATCCACGAATAATCTGGGCGCAAGAAGGTCGATGTCTACCCTTCTTCATTGTGAGCTTCCACATAGTAGTAGCAGAACCCTCTAGCACAGAGCTTTTCCCGTCGTTCCTGTTTCTGAAGTTTCGAAGTTTTCAGGGACCAGTGCAGAACGAAACGAAACTCTTCCAGCGGAGGTGAGGATATGTGATTACTAACCGTAAGTGTTGACTCCGATGTGAAATTTTCATTCATCATTTTCAATCCTAGCTTCCTAAATGCGCCTACAGTATGTCCAAGGGATTTGAAATGATACCTTACTGTAATAAATAGGAATGAAGCGTTCCGTTTTAATCGACCTTTTTTTCGAATATGCCGCCCATTCTGCTCCAAATGAAAACCGCATTGATTCGAAAGCGATTCGATCAGCGCAGTCACTTGAGTGTGTAAGTCATATTTGTTTGTGGGTTTTCGCGCCTCCAGACATGTTCCGTACCGAATGATCGACTTCATACAAGTGAAAGGCTCGACCACTTCAGCTGGCTCCCATTTGACGTCTCATCCCGTGGTTGCTAAGGCTAATGAAGTCACCTCCAACGTAACTGTGCCTTGGAAAAATGCGTTCAAACTCTAACGCAAGTTTTCTACGACGAAGTGGCAAATGTTTCATGCCAGACCTTTCATAAACGATGCTCTCGGCGTACACGCCACGCCAAGGATAGAGATGAAAGAGGACTGAAAGCGACAGTTCGCACGCTTCGTGAAGAGCCGTTTCCAACCAAACAAACACAGCATACAGAGGTCTGAAGATAACTGTGCATTAATATCGCGGCATTCCCAATCGATGGCAATAGTGGATTTCCTACGATAGCCTTTGGCTCACATGATGAGGCCTCTTGCGGAAGTTTGCAGGTTTCGTAAGTTCCCCGGTTATAACTTTTTTTCTGATTACTGATTCACGGTACTGATTTGCTTTAGCCGAAACCTAGTGGGCGCAGCGTTATGAACTGACACAATGAAGCATATGGGCTTCCCGCAGATTAGTGGAGCGGTAGTATCCCATTTAGAGCATACAGTATGAGCAGCAGGAGATGGTACGCTTCCAGCGAAAAGAAGAAACAGTGCACATTGATTGCGGGAGGCTTCTGTACGACAACAACGTGGGTGACTTTACTGGAGATTCAAAGACTTTCAGCAATTTCTTTCTGACTTTATTATTTCTGACTTTCAGTGATTCATTTTGCAGGGGAATTATTCGGAAAGTCTAGCAGCATCACGTCCTACGCTCGCAGATCAAGACCTGCAGATGAGTTGCGAACATATTCGAGCTCGAGTGCTTCCTCCGAAGCCACTTGATCGATTAAAATTTGGAGTAGCGCATATACGATTAGTGTACGAGGTACTTTTCAGGAGCTACACTTGAGTAAAATATCGAGTAAAAAAATTTTTGCACTGTTTGGACACACCCATTCCAGAGTTACGAATTCATCGAGGATGAACTTAGATCAAGCTATCATCCGCAGAATATCTTTTGCTATTCCATCGATTATAAAGCAAAGCAGGAATTCACAGAGAGGATAGAGGCACTCGCACAATGTCTTCCTAATGTGCTAGCACCTAAAGGTTGGCTAGTTATGCATATTCTGATGATGATTCAATGATTCTAACACAACGCAAAAAACCGAAGCTCCGCAAATAGAGAGCGAAAGGAAGCAGTGTAGTTCTCTTATGCAACTCTATGCTGCATTCTGGTTGGGAGGGAGAAGCTGCCTAGATGCTCGTATTACCTTGAGATATTGGATGGAATTAAGATGGAAGTCCCAGAGCGTACGTCGAAAACGCCTACAATAGAAGCCTT